CCAGTATCTAAAATCAAGTGATATCGAGGACTGGACGTCGTGATATAATTAAAAGCTAAACCCTATAAAACAACGAAATAAAACCTAAAATCCCGTACCGAGTAATACACTAATCATGAAGAAATATAGTCCACTAAAGTCGCGGGAGACAAGAATAATGAGTAAAAACCCTATATAAGCAGTAGCGCAGAAAACGGTTTCAGTAGAAGTTTCCAGTTGTGGTTGAAGACGCTGCCGAATTGTTCGTCGAATTTTGAAGAAATCCGAACTTAGAAGAATTTGCTGAGCCCGAGAGGAAGATAGAACAATTCTCAATGCTGCAGCTGTGTAAGTCTACCTTTTAGTCATTCTTGATTTATCTTGCTTTCCGTTTTTTCGTCATGTGTTCTCGAGTTCGAATCGTACATGTGTAGCGTTTAATTTATGCGTTTTCTTCGTTACGTTGGGTGTGAACAGTTAGCGCCGGCACAGAAAGTAATCTTTAGTGCTTCCATATGTTCCCGTTTGCAGGTGGTACGTTTGGCCTTGCGTCGGTTCTTGATTGTTGGGGAGGATTTTTCGATAAATTACCGTTCGCTTTTATGATAATTATTCCAGTGTTTCTTTAATTTGCCGATTTAACTCTTTTGCTTTCGACATGAATATTTTATGCGCGTTTTTGGGAAGTTCCCGAATTGAAACCTTTTTAATTTAATTTCTTGCTGTCGATAATTTTATATTGAATTTTTGCCGTTTAAATATGACTCCGTTCTCTGATTATTTTGCTATAGTATTTGGAAACGTCGCATTTTATTTTACTTTAATCGTCTCACTGTATTTTAGCGCATTTATGATACTAATTTCCCAATGTTTAGCTGCATTTATAAACTATGACTGTTTATTTTTACATGTATTTAACTGTCCTGTAACCATCAATTTTTCTCGTGAACAAATGTTGCGCTCGGCGTATTTAGCTAATCAATGAATGTAAAAACTCATTTATCTCTTTTTACATGTTTATATTCATAAGTTGTAGATTTAAGTGCATGATTTTAATTCGTTAATTTTAGTTGTTCTTATGATCAGTGGAGATTTCTCCGAATCCACTGAATTATTGGTTTTATTATTATTTTAGTTGTTTTAATGATTTAATTAACTTATAAATGCCCAATCGCAATTTATTGGATAATTAAGTAATTAGTCGATTTCATAGTTAGTAGTTTTTTAAGTTTATTTATCATGCTCGTAATATTAATATTGTTTAGAAGGTATCGCACTTAATTAAGGATTTACCGAAATTAATTTTTAGTTTTTGAATGCTGATTTTTCTAGGATTAAGTTTAAGTAAAATCGTGGGTTATGTTCATAGTTTTTAAGAGTTTTTTTTTTAGTGGAATACAATTGCGTAGCGCTTTAGAAGATAGTTTTGCATGTTGTTTTTTTGTGTTATGTGTGTAAATTTATTTTATGATTTATTTTTCCGGTCATTATTTACACATTTACTCGATTATTCTTTTGATATGCTTATAATTCTTTCTTTTAATATATGTATAAAAATGTTATAAATGTTTAATTATTACCTCTTCCCCTACATGCAGTTTAGCTCTTCCATTTCCAAGGAAATGGGCCTACACCCAAATAAATAATTTTGTTAGTGTCCAAAAGCTCGGCCGCGGTCAAAACTATTTGGGCACGACAAAATGGCGCAGTCGGTAGGATTATTCGCCAAATTGCAAAAAAGGGAAGTTGTAATAATGAATTAACAAAAAAAAGAGTTTTTGAAAAATCGGAAAAATCGCATAAAAATCAGAAAGATCAGAAAAATCCAAAGTAAGACACCCTAGAAAATACGGTAGGATCATTCGCTAAATTGCAAAAAAGGGAAGCTGTAATAATGAATTAACAAAAAAAAAAATTTTGAAAAATGTTAAAAACCATAAAAAAATCATAAAACAGCAGAAAAACCCAAAGCATTGCACCCTAGAAAGTACGGTAGAATTAGCGTAGATTTAACTATTACGAAATAACGGCTAATAACAATGAATTCAGTGTTAATTTCATAGCGACAATTATCGCGGCCATCTTGTCGAACCGTCGTGGCAACCAGAGATATGGAGAAGGAGAATGAGCTTCGACTTCTGCGCATCGGTACACTATGGGGGCCGCCATTTTATCAGTTAAGCTTAAAGTTTTGTTTACCTACGAGGTTACGACGTTGTTGAACCAGTTGTAATTTGGAGTTAAAATTATTACTTAATTTGTTTTACCGTTAGTGTACGTGTGAACGTGCTTGTTAGTGTTAAAGGACATTATTATTGACAACAAACATGTCTTGTACAGTTTCTCACTGTAAAAATTGTCAACGATTTCGTTCAGAAGGTGTATCTTTTCATCAGTAAGTTTTCTTCATTATCTTATTAAAATCGAATACGTAGATATTTATAATTAATAACAATTGGTTATTGCAATACTATGTGAGCAATATTTATTATATCTGATTTTAGGTTTCCGAAAGATCGAAAACTTTTAAAAAAGTGGCTGATTGTTGTGAAAAAAGATGACAGCTTCAAATTGACTAAGTAGAAGCTGGTGTGCTCAGATCATTTCACAACAACTGATTTCATTGTTGTAAATGAGTGAAAACGATTGAAATCGAACGCAATTCCCAGTGTGAATTTAGATGAAAGTCTAGAAGCTTCTTCAACTTCAATGAGTACTGTGAGTGCTACTTCAGCTGATATTTGAGAAGAGTCTCCATCGATTATACCTCAAGGTGTAAAGAGGACATTAAGGTTTGAATATTTTATTATATTGAATTTTTTACTACTATTAATAATTATTATTTAGTGCTGCGCAGAGATACCATGGAAAAAGCAGTAGCAGTACAAGTGGAAGTAAAAGCAAGAACTCAAAAAGTAGTTCTGACAGGAGGGAAGGTGATAAGCTGGCGTTACATAAAGAAACTACATGAATTACAAAATGATGAATTCCTAAATGTTGCAAACAAGTTGAAAAAGGCACATTTGGAGTGATGGAAACATAAAATGAAAGTAAGTTGTTTTCCTAACAATATTCCTTATTGACAATAATTAAGTTCTATTATAGGTGAGTTTAGCAGCACAAACTCTTAGCAAGAGTTGCGGATGCACTTGAATTTTTAAAAGATCTTGGTATTAGTGACTTTCAAGGTTGTGAAACAACAATAGAATTCATCAGAAGGATAGATTCTTTATTTGATATTCTCAATTCCCGAAGTGTACGTGCTAAGAATTTTAAGGCACCTTTGAGAGAAAACAATGAAGAAATGTGGCGTCCATTTCTCATCGACACCAGTGAGTATCTTCTGAATTTGAAGGATGTCACTGGCGAGCCTTTGTGGTGCACGCCCCGAAAAACGTCAATTCTGGGCTTTGTTATTTCCGCTACGTCGTTCATGGGAATTTTTGATGAATTTGTTAGTAGTAAGAGGTTGAATGACTTGCTAACATAAATGTAGTCAAGATCATCTAGAAATTTTCTTCTGCTCAGTGCGGTAAGCTTTTAAAAAAACAATTGTATTACTTTTTTATGCACTGGAATTACACAAATCTGTATTTATTTTTCTGTTTTCAGATCGAGAAATGGGTGAAACAATAACCCTACTCCTCTACGATTTTGTAAAACTTAGAAGATTGCTTCTATTTACAAACATAACGAGGGAAGGAGGAAATTGTAAAGTGCTTTGCACCACCTGTCTGCTCTCTGTTAGCATTGGCCCAAAGCAAAAGAGCACAAATGTTCAACAATCAGTTGACGTGTTTGTCTTGAAAAAATATGATCTCGATATTTTGACTGAAGCACTTGCAGATCATGACTATGAACGTCTAATTTTATTGGGCTGAGTGAAGTGGCAGAAAACGTTGTGGCATATATTGGTAGCTATGTTGTCAAAATGGTGGTGAAGACGTTTAAGTGCGCAGACTGCATTTCTTCTTGCATTGAAACACGAGGAAGTGACTTACAGTTTTACAGATTATTGGACAAAAAAAACATGGGTAAAATAAAATACTTACAATAGTTATTTTTTAAGTCTTAACAAAATTTTTATTTTAGGTGGGCTTATTAAACCTTTTGCTGGGGTTGTGAAGACTTGTTGTTACTGTTAATACGAAAAATTTTGCAACTCACCGATAAACTTCCAAGCGATGAACAATTTTTTAAAACTTTCGGCATGCCAGCATTCTTTTTCCTAATTTAGAAGACCCACGCACTCGAGACGGTGGCCATCGATGAAGGCCATTTATATATTCTTATTAAACAAATAATTAATGCCTACATGCGAATAAAAATGTTTAATTTGAGCAAAAGACTTTCATGCCTTGCTCAAGGCACTTCTGTTAGACATGTGTACACATAATTAGTACTGTTTTCGCATCAATAAATATATTGAAGTATAATTATGTTTATTTATTCGTTTAAGGTGAAATATATTTTAGTTGTGATTTATTATTAGGTGATTGTAATTAATGATTTTAAACTTCCCGCCCAATAATGAAGCAATTGTCTAGGGATATCAAGTTCTGTTAGTGATTTGTGATTATGTTGGCAACAGTCAACTGATAAAATGGCTGCTTTCAATTTTAGACCAAGGATTTCGTCTGCGCATGGGGAAGCTCATTCTCCCTCTCCATATCTCTGGTGGCAACTCAGCCAATTCAGCTCAGTGTAAGCCATAGATTTTAACCTTATACTCTACTAGATGCGCAACTGCGTCGCGTAAAGTGAAGCCTATGGCGGCCATTTGTCAAAGAGGCAAAATACTGTAGAATCGTATTACGGTAATGGTGAAAGTAAGGGTAAAATATTATTTATTTGTTCTAAGGAAATCAGGTGCACATTTTATTGTTAGCTTGCCAATCCTGACATACAACAAAAGTACATATAACTTAAAATATACTACAAATGTTACGTTATTGAGGAAAAATAATTAAAATAGTTTTCCAATTCTTACATAAATCAGAAGTCATTAAAATTAAAAAAATACCTAAGCAGTAAATACGTGCCAGGACGCACCAAATAATCACTTTCAGTGAAAGGGTCGCTACACAACTTACTGGCTTTTGTTGGTGTAAATTTTTTTCTTTTCATTACTCTAACCCACTGTTCCAAGAGCTTTTCATTTTTCAGGGGAAATCTAAAGACAAAATCACATAATAAAATGACAAACCGATTTAGCAATCGGCCGCAAATTACCCAAAAAACTGGATGTTTCCTCCTGGTTTAAACCGATTTGTACACCCAAATGCGGAACACGATGCCGGCATATTTCGCTTTTAATAAACCAACACTTTTTGGAACTATACTTTAATTCACGTAATCATACACATTCACCCCTAATACATATGAAACAGTTCGCAACGTACATACATATACAGGATATTTTTGAAATAAATGGAAACTTTTTTTAAGGTAATTGGTCATGATATAGAGAATTTATGCATCAAATATAGAAAAGTAGGTAAAATTGTTGCTTGTTAACATGACAATACATTCATTAGCCCATCATTTTTTGACGTTTTTGCAATTTTTTGGAAGAACAAAATGAATTTTTCTAATTCTGAAATGACTGACATGGTTCTGATGTATGGACTAGCCTTAAGAAACTCCTTGGAAGCTCGACGTTTATACCAAGAAGCATTTCCCGAACGAAGATTGCCAAATCATAAAACATTTGCTAACGTTGTTCAGCGTCTACGAGAAAATGGGAAATTTCAACCTCGTTTTAGTGATCGTGGTCGTGAAAGGACAGAACGGACACTTGATGCCGAAGAAGAAATTTTGAATGTCGTTGAAAACGATCCAGGTATAAGCATTAGACGATTGTCTTACCGAGTGGGAGTTTCATCTATTGTGGTGTGGAGAACTCTACATGAACAAGGCAACAATCATTGATTAGACGTGCGGAAGCGTGTATACGAAATGGTGGTGGACATTTTGAAAACTTGCTCTAGTCACGGCCAACTGTATTAATACATATGGCCATCCCAATTCGTATAAAAAGTTGATTCTTTGACGTTTCCAAAATCGTTAATCAGGCAACGACATCTATTGAGTACAGTTATGAAGTTGGTTGGCAAATAATTGTCAAAATGACGTTTTAAAATATCACGTTTTTCTGAAAGTGCAGATAATCGCACAAGAACATTAATGATATTACTCCTACTATTTAGTGTTGAATTAAGATAGATATATTTTTACAAAACGAAAATTATTTAACAAAAAGGAAGGTACATATTCATAATTTTAAAACTTTTCTGCTGGTAGGTTTGTTACAGATCGTTATGTTCTTCAACCAGTCTGTTTGTTCCAAACAAATATTATCAATAACTGGTTTCACTGTTGCTCGAATAATTATATCACAAACTCTTGATTCATGTTCCAAGCAACAAAATTTTCTTTGTCTTGTTTTATATCATGATCCAAAATCCAGAATTTTGCAGTACTGACAAAGTCTACATTGGAAACATTAGATGATTTGGAACATTTAAGAATTCTGCAGCGGAGGATCTGACGCATTGCATATTCTGCAGCTCTGGCATCCGTTGCATCATTGGACCCTCCTTTTAATCTGCAATTCATATATTTTTTTCAAAAATTTAGATGTAATAGTATCTTGTAGTGACAGCAGGCCCGGTGGTATTAGAAAGTTTTTTAAAAAGCACAACATTTAGATTCAAGTTATCTGTAACGAGTCGCAAAACTATGAATTGCAGAAAGGGCTACCTGTAAAACCATCAGTTCTGCTAGCACCGGTTTTCGTGGTTTCACTCAAGAGACTGCACATGCTTTAAAATTTATTGCCAGAAGTACATATTTGTGTGTTAAGTTTTTGTTAGAACAAGCAGGCTTTTACTATGTTCTTACGCGTTCCTTTAGCTCCGATGCGGTGGAAGCAACGTTCTCACACGTGAGATTAAAAGGAGGCTCCAATGATGCAACGGATGCCAGAGCTGCAGAATATGCAATGCGGAATTGTTAAATGTTCCAAATGTTCCAAATCATCTAATGTTTCCAATACAGACTTTGTCAGTACTGCAAAATTCTCGGTTTTGGACCATGATACAAAACAAGACAAAGAAAATTTTGATGTACCTTTGGAATTAAGAACAAAGATTCAAAACCTGAGTAAATTAATTGAATCCTGTGCAAACATTTCATCGGCATCTGTGGCCTTTTTGGCTGGCTTCACTTTAAAGAAATTAGACGACAAATTTCATTGCGATCGCTGCCTTGCACCGCTGTTGTTCAAAGAGGTTCCTGGTCCGCTATTAAGACTCATCCTGTTACAGGATCGAGGTGGATTAACCTATCCCAATGCATATTCCGTAGGCATTGTGCAGGAAGTGGCTGACGTAACTCAAAAAAATGTTGCCGTTTTTAAAGTCTAAAAAGACATGGCAACAAATATGTAATCTGCTCCATCCTTCTTTGGACCAAAATCCATTATTTTGTTGCTTGGAACATAAATCAAGAGTATATGATATAATTATTCGAGCAACAGTGAAACCAGTTATTGATAATATTTGTTTGGAACCAAAAGACTGGTCGAAGAAAATAACGAGCTGTAACAAACCTACCAGCAGAAAAGTTTTAAGATTATGAATATCTACCTTCCTTTTTGTTAAATAATTTTCATTTTGTAAAAATATATCCATCTTATTTCAAAACTAAATAGTAGGAGTAATATCATTAATGTTCTTGTGCCATTATCTACACTTTCAAAAAAACATGATATTTTAAAACGTCATTTTGACAATTATTTGCCAACCAAGTTCATAACTGTACTCAACAGATGTAGTTGCCTGATTAACGATTTTGGAAACGTCAAAGAATCAACTTTTTATACGAATTGGGATGGCCATATATATTAATACAGTTGGCCGTGCTCTAGTTGCATACGTTACGTTTTGTTTCATTTTATGGTTGATTAAATTATGATTTTGAAGTTTTAATTGTCAGTTCATTAATTATTGTCATTGTTTATTTGTTGCTAGCAATAAATTAATAGCAACAGTAGTTACACCTCGGCAGTTTTCAGTTACTAGGTTTCACATTTTTTCGTGAAACCATTATTTATCAGTGGAGGAATGAATGTTTGGATAGGGGTTAAATTTTCCTTTCAAAATTTTACTAAAACAACAAACGTTCATTTGACTTCTTAGGTTCCCTACATTCACCAGATTTTTTGTTTCCATGTATTTCAATAACACCCTGTATTTAGCACTATTTTCCTAATATATTACCAAGCGATCATACATTGACAGCAATGTTTTGCCTTTCTGACAAATGGCGGCCACTCGACCTTGAAGCTTCACTTCTCTCTGCAGCGCAGGGTTAGGTAGTCGGGTATCATGCTGCGGCCACTTGGTTTACGTCATCAAAACAGTCCTCTAATTTTCCGGCCATTCACTAGAGGCGCCAGTGTCGAATTTTTAAAAATGGCGCTTATAACCACGTGTTTCTCAACCAATCACCAGTACTAGCTTATTACTACCACGTGCCGAATTCTCCATGCTCATTTCCTGAGCTCACTTTTATTTGAAATCTCGAGTTCTGAGGTTGTGTTCACGTGAGTGTTCTGTGGTGTTCATTGTGTTTATTTATTTATTTATTTATCTACAAATTTGCGATAAATAATTTTATCATTCCGTGTGGGAATTAGGTGAGTTGTGATTATTTATTTGAAAAGTAATTTAAAAGTGTATTTGTTTCCAGTTTTACTACGTATTATTCAGTGGCGGCTCGTCAGGGGAGGCAGGGGAGGCAGTGCCTCCCCTGGAAAAATTGACTATTAGTTTTTGTTTTAATATCTCTCAACTTCAAATATATTTTAAAGATATAGCAAATAACTTTTATAGAACACTGTGATTTATTAAAACGCGTCTTGGTAACATATTTTGAAGTACGCGCTTTCGACAGGAATAAGCGCTGATCATCACCGTGTAGGCCAACTTCAGACGGAGGCATGCCTCAGATAGACGGATATCTTCAGTATGATTAGTCAGTGGTGCTAATATGTTTTTGAGAAAGACAATAGTCAGCAGTGCTTTATCAAAGCGCCAGCGGAGGCACCAACGCCTACCGTCCTTAAGCCAATCGGATCGAATTTTTTAATCTCATAGTGAAACTGCACAATGCTGAACAGGGATGCTGAATGTATTTAGCGTGCATTTAGTTGTGCATTAATTAGACGCGAGAAAAGGTGTTCACTGCATGTGCACTGCCAAGGTTATGTATTAAAACTTTTAAGTTAACTTGAAAACATTAGGACCATGAAAATGTCAGTTTTGCAATGCTGATAGGAACTAAGAATCTCTAATTCTCTAACGATATTGTAGAATTTCTTATAAAGTTTAAATATTTAAGCACGGTTTTCTTACGACGAACAGTTGTATGTCAAAGATTTAGGAACCTCTCATCCCAGATTTGAACAGAATTTTATTAATTAATTGATTAATATATTTAAATCAGCCCTAGATCATATGAATTAAAATTTATGCTAATAAAGCAAATTCTGTAGTCTTTACACATTCTCGTTGGTTTGTGTGAAGCAATTAAATGTTTTTTATTCGAAAAGGGTGGAAATATGTTACTGACTCAGAGTTATTTGTATTGTTTTCATAAAAACGGATAAAGAATCTGTCTTTTTACAAAAATAATTGCGAACATGTTAATTAATACCTGCTGATTTTGAAACGAAAATGTTGCCTCCCCTAACGGAAAGACCACGAGCCGCTACTGGTATTATTATGTATAATAAAAGCCGTAAGTGTTGTGTACCTGGATGCAGATTTGAAGGTATTGAACGTTTTCGTTTGCCAAATCCTCGCAAGGAGGAAGCAATGTTACGAACATGGATCAGCATTATCGGCGGCGATCTTTTGCAAATGTCGTTGGAAGATATTTACAACAAGAAAAGAATTTGTAAGTGTCATTTTACTGACAATTATTTTAATCCAGGGTGCAAGGGTCTTTTACGAACAGCTGTACCAACTTTGTATGTCCCAAGTAAGTATTACTACATTTAAAAAAACATTCTTAACTATTCCGTTATTGTAGTGTGCATGAAAGACACCGAAAAACGTACTTTTGATGATGCCTTTGTGGAAGAATCATCATTTTCCGTGTGTACTCCTTCAGCAAAGAAAATTGGTAAGATACTATAGATGTCAATGAAATAGTTAATGTTAACTTTACAACATTAATAACAACAATTTATCACTGATCACCATAATAGTAACTCCTACTTAATAATTACTGCTTTATTCCAGCTACCGATGTTACAGTGGACATTGTAGATCCTAATTTGGAAAATGCTGCTGTAGATATGTCCCCTGCCCCCACAACTCCCACAAAAAGTAAGTGAATGAAATAACTTTATTCTTCTGTATTATGATTTTTATTTTCATTAGATCAAGAATTGCAAGGCTTGTTGAAAAGTGTCGGTGTTAATAAAGCTATTCATTTGACACCAAAAGCATCAACTTTGTACCAGGCAGCTACATCGTTGAAGAGAAAAGTACAATATTTGCACAAAAAATGCAGGGGTTTCAAAAGCAGGCTAGCAGCAGCTACAAAGCTTTCAGAAAGTGAAGCTTTTCAAAGAGTTGCTAGCAATATGTCGGTAGCTGCAAAATTATTTACCAACCTGCAGATGAGAGAAACTCACAAAAAATCCCCTCCCTTATCTATGTCGGGTATCTAGGTAACTTAATTTAACATCTATGGTGTAAGCTCGTGCGTCGCCCGACTATTTTCAACCCTTTTCGACCGAACTTATTTCGAAGGATCGCGCCGGAAAATTGAAAATAATTTTGCATGATTTTAATAAACCGTTCTCATAAGAAGAACAAATTAGCAGAAAAATTAAGTAAATAGATGTTATAAACCGCATAAAGGAGATTTTAGAAAAATCTAGTAAGGTTGATGTAAATAAAATTTATTTTGAGCAATTTTTAGTATAAAATTAGGCATTTCAACGTTTTATTTAAACAACAGCATTTATTTATCAAACGAGTTCCGTTATTACACACTTATTATGATAATTCCTTATTACACACTTATTATGATAATTCCAGAAAAACATTAAGTTAGAGAATTCACGCAATTTATTCAACTAGAGTGCACACAGAGTTTAAGTACTTCTTACTTACCAAGTTTTGTCTATAAGATACTAAAATTTTTTCCTCATCTTTCTCACTTTCGCACTTTTAAACTATGGAACAACTTTTCTTTCAATTACATCCAGTAGCACAGAAAGCTCATGAAATAAACACCAGAAATTTTCAATAACTTCAAATTTAATTTAAATTATAAGACATATACCATAAGAACACCATCATGTATAATCACTCCACCGACAGTTTAGTTCGGAATAGGCGACGATCGCAGTGTGAGTCAGTAGTACCACCATGTATGAAGAGACGTGATTCGTGTCGGCTGTGCAGTTGATCCCTCAAATAATTGGATTTTAATTGAAATTTATATTCACTTGTGTGTAGTTTTTGAAGTTAAGTTGTTTATCTATCAGCTGATATAAAATTCTTATCACCGCTGTAAAAACTAAGCGGTAAGTTTGCTCTTTTTCATCCACAACTAATTGTGATTAATTTGACTCTTTTTTCCTATTGTCTCATTCAGTATAAATTATAACTAACACCTTTCCGTTGCCCGTGATCTTGTTTGTATACATTTTGACAAGTCGCTGTAAAGGGCACTACCAGCGTGAAGCGTGTGTCCCTGTTTTTCCTCATTCCTGAATATTCACTAAAAATGAGCACTTCCTGTACTTGCTGCGGCAGAAATGCTGACTCTTGTAAGATTGTTAATTGCTGTGTCTGCGGAAAATCTTACAAAATTGAATGCGTTAATTTAACAAACGCAGAGGCACGCAAAATTCATCAAAAGTCGGGTCTATCATGGTCCTGTAAGAACTGTGCCAAGATTGGGAGTGATATCAACAGCTCGAAGGCAGTTATTGTTGCAATGCAAGAAGAAATTAAAGTATTAAAATTATCTGTATCTACTGTGCCTCCTTCTACTGCAGCTTCTGCATCGCTGTTTCAGACAGAAAAAGTCATACAAGAGGTGTCAGAAAGGAATAAGCGTAAATGCAACATCATTATTTATGGGCGCTCTGAATTAATCAATAAAAATAAAACTGAACAATCTGAGGCTGATACTGTGTTTGTAAAAGATGTTCTAACAGCTTTAAACATTGGTGACCTGGGGTATCTTAAGCCAATCAGACTTGGGAAATATGATCCAACTAAGCAAGACCGGCGTCGTCCAATCAAGATTACCCTTTCGTCAGAAGAAGATGTGGTGTCCGTACTTCGTGCATCTAAGTCCCTGAAAACGACTGATCCTTGGAAAAATATTTTCATATCTAGAGACCGTACTAAGATGCAAAATGAACTATACAAAAGCGTTAGAAATGAATTGCATGAGCGTTTGTCAAATGGGGAGCAAAATCTTATAATAAAATACAAAGATGGAATTTTAAACATAGTTCACTCGGAAAACTAAAGGCGCCCGGCAGATTACCATTTGCTCTAAACATATATATTACCAAAATGTGCGTGGCTTACGGTCAAAGATTCAATCTTTTTATACAAGTGTGTCGGATCGTTTTTATGATATTGTAATTATTGCAGAAACTTGGCTGATTTCATCACTGTACAATTCAGAATTATTTCCTTCCTATTGTAATGTGCTTCGTTGTGACAGAAATCTTAATACCACTGGACGTAAAACTGGTGGTGGTGTCTTAATAGCCCTGGCTGATCATATAACTTACAATTCCGTTGATGTGTCCTTAGTAAGAGAGCTTGTACCCCTTATAGATATAATTATGTGTTGCTGTAGGGTTCATTCGTTTCGCTTTTTTATGATTGGTGTATACATACTACCGGATGTGTCTAGTATCGATCTAGAGGTGTTTCTTGAAACACTGGGCGCTTTGATCTTGGATAAACCAGTTATAATTATTGGAGATTTTAACTTGTCTCAATACAGTACCAACTATGTAGTACGTAATGTGTTCTGCAGTAAATTAAACAGTTTTCTTGATTTTTCTCAAACAGTAAATCTTTCTCAGTATAACAATATCTTAAACTTCAACAATCGTTTACTTGACTTAGTTCTCTCCAATACTGATTTCAAAATCAGTGTTAATCTTGACCAACAATCATTTGTTCCACCTGATCCCCATCATCCTGCTCTGCATATTGAAACAGAATTCTTGATTTCTTCCAAACTCCCACGGTTTCCATGTGATAATAATCGACGTTATAATTTTCGGAAAGCCAATTACAATAAGTTATACAATGAC